GGCCTTTTTTTTTTTTGGTATTTTTAGTAGAGACAGGGTTTCTCCGTGTTGTTCAGGCTGGTATCGAACTCCCAAGCTCAGGCAATCTGCCTGCTTCAGCCTCCCAAAGTGCTGGGGTCACAGGCATGAACCACCACGTCCGGCCCCGACATGGCTTCTTATTCTCCTCTCTAATAAAACTTCTGTCCCTGGCAGAACTGGGCGCCTGCAGGGCTGCCTCTTTCCCCACAGAGAGAGACCAGCAGGCCCATTTTGTTAGTGGGCCAGGGGGTCCCCTCTGAAAGCCCTGCCACCCACAAGTGGTCTCCCTGGGCTCCCAGGCACCCTCCTTCCTGTCCTGGGAGCCTGTTGGGCAGGGCCCAGTGCAGTGTCAACACTCAGTGTGGGCTGTTGGTGGGGCTGAATAATGGGTGCTGGGATATGGGCACTGGTTTCAGAGGGCAGGGAAAGGGCAGCCACGTGGGCCAGCCCCTCTGGCTGGTGATGAACCCCCTCTGTGACTGTGCAAGGTCCACGCTGCAGGCACAGAGACTGGTACAGACAGATGCTGTTTCAAACTCTGGGGATGCAGCCTCACCACCACATTCCTGCACTGCAGGAAAGTCAGGGGGAGCCCCAACCCACCTCGGGAGGCCGCACCGCCAACACCTGGGACAGGGAGGGAGTGGGTGCGCTCACCGAGCACTGCCCTGTTCGGTCTTCACCCAGCCTGGCAGGGTCTGCTTATCACCCTGCTCTAAAGGTGGGGTCCCACACACAGTAGGTAGCAGAGCTGGGACCCTCATTGTCCCTTCTGCTGCCCAGCGGAGCCACACAGGCCTGAGGGTCCCCTGCCCCTGGCTGTCTGAGTCTTTGAACTCCAGTTCTGCCCTCCATTGTCCGGCATTCTCCCATCCCTCCAAGCCTCTGCCGCCCTGCTCTTCCCTGACCCCTCTCCGATTGTCACAGCGTGTGAATGAAGGGGGTCTCACCCTGTTCCTCTCCTCTCTGCAGGACACCGCAGGCCAGAAGGTGCCCCTCTCTGTGCGAAGTCCACCCACTTCTGGCTGCCCAGGTCCAGTGCCCTGGGAGAACCAGGCAGAGGGCTGGGACTGCAGCTGCTGTCCCTTGGGGACCAAGCGCCAGGCCTTGAGGGCCACCTCTGGGAAAGGCACAGCCCCTTCCCTCTCTGCAGGGAGCAGCTGCGTCAAGTATCTGATTTTCCTGTCCAATTTCCTCTTCACCCTGCTGGGCCTGCTGGCCCTGGCCATCGGGCTCTGGGGCCTGGCCGTCAAGGGGTCTCTGGGAAGTGATCTGGGGAGGCCCCTGCCCGCAGACCCCATGCTGGGGCTGGCACTGGGGGGGCTGGCAGTCAGTGCAGTGAGCCTGGCTGGCTGCCTGGGCGCCCTCTGTGAGAACACTTGCCTGTTACGTGGCTTCTCCGGGGGCATCCTTGCCTTCCTGGTGCTCGAAGCCGTCGTGGGGGCACTGGTGGTGGCCCTCTGGGGCCCTCTGCAAGATAGCCTGGAGCACACCCTGCGAGTAGCCATCACCCACTACCAGGACGACCCAGACCTGCGCTTCCTTATCGACGAAGTTCAGCTCGGGCTGAGGTGCTGCGGGGCGGCCTCCTACCAGGACTGGCAGCAGAACCTGTGAGTCTTGGAGTGGGTGAGGGACGGGGCCGCCACAGGGGCCCAGAGGCCACACACACTCATGTGCACACAGGCACTCACGTGCACACACTCATTCCTGCATGCCCGCACGCACACATACACCCATGCACACACATCCACACTGGCACGTCTCATGTGCTCACAAGTTTCACGTGTGTGCATGCACACCTACACGCCATGGGCTCCGGCCTGGGCAACAGAGCTAGACTCCATTTAAAAAAAAAAAAAAAGAAAATGACTTTTAGGTTAATTACGGATGTCATTCTAGAATCTGACTCCACAATTTTTCCTCCACTGTGAGTGTGATTAAACACTGTCCACTTAGGATCCAATGCAGGATTTTCTTTTTTTTTTTTTTTTTTTTTGAGACGGAGTTTCGCTCTTGTTACCCAGGCTGGAGTGCAATGGCGCGATCTCGGCTCACTGCAACCTCTGCCTCCTGGGTTCAGGCAATTCTCCTGCCTCAGCCTCCTGAGTAGCTGGGATTACAGGCGTGCGCCACCATGCCCAGCTAATTTTTTGTATTTTTAGTAGAGACGGGGTTTCACCATGTTGACCAGAATGGTCTCGATCTCTTGACCTCGTGATCCACTCTCCTCGGCCTCCCAAAGTGCTGGGATTACAGGCGTGAGCCACCGCGCCCGGCCCAGGATTTTCTTGTGTTCTGCTCAGGGGTAGCTGTCTGGTTGGTTTTTTGTTTTGGAGACAGAGTCTTGCTCTGTCGCCCAGGCCGGAGTGCAGTGGCACGATCTCAGCTCACTGCAACCTCCAACTCCCTGGTTCAAGCTATTCTCCTGCTGCAGCCTCCCAAGTAGCTGGGATTACAGGCACGGGCCACAACGCCCAGCTAATTTTTTTGTATTTCTAGTAGAGACGGGGTTTCACCATGTTGGCCAGGATGGTCTCGATCTCCTGACCTCATGATCCACTGTGCCCGGCCAGCTGGCTGTTTTATCAGTTATCCCCAGTGCATGCATACCCTGCTCTCCATGCCACACCCAGGTCTCCCACACCTTCTTGGTGCGTGTATCCAGGGGCCACTGAACACAAGAGATGAAGTCATAGGCGACCCTAAAAACTGGCCATTAGTACCCAGCGGTGGCTAATGGGTGGTGCCCTTCCAGGTACCAGACTCTGGGAAGCACCACATAGGTCGCTTTTTGGCCACATGTGACTGGGTTGGTGGCAGCCACCTTAGAGTGTCATAATGCCTCATCTGCTGCTGGCATCGACCCCCTCACCTGCCTGGGAGGGGCACACTCTTCTAGAGTGGAGGGGCCGTGGGGATGAGCCTGAAGGTCTGCTGGGCACGTGCAGAGCCCAGGACACTAGTGAATGCCTAGGGCACCTGTGGACTGCCTGACCTGGGGGCTGCGATGAGCTCAACACTCCCAAGCCACCCTGGGGGTTCCTCCCCCACCCTTGCTTTTTGTCACTGCCGGGTATGGCCTCTCAAGCCCTTGCTCTAACCCGTAAGACCTGTGGACCATTCCAGAAGCCTCTGCCAGAGCTCCATCCACCCTCCCCCGCTCCAACTCTACCTCCTCAATGAGCTCACATGAGCAGAGCAGCCTCTGCGGAGGAACGTCCTCTCACTTCCACCCTCATCAATGCTGGTCTGTTTCGCATTAACCATTCTGCTAGTCTATGCAGCCGTCACCCCTTCCTGCAAGCCAGAGGGCTGCCACGCACAGGGATACAGCCGAGAAAGCCGCGTGCCGTGTGTGCGGTGTGTGTGTGAATGTGTGGATGTGTGTCTGTGTGTGCACGTGCCTATGTGGCCATGGGAGGGTGGTGGTGGGTAGGCGACCTTCACCTCCGTGCCTGGCTCCGGAAGAGCGGGCCCTCCCCGCCAGAGCTGATGCCGCCCCCGTTTGCTCCCCAGGTACTTCAACTGCAGCTCCCCCGGGGTGCAGGCCTGCAGCCTTCCGGCCTCCTGCTGCATCGACCCCCACGAAGACGGAGCCTCTGTCAACGACCAGTGCGGCTTCGGGGTCCTGGGCCTGGATGCGGAGGCAGCCCAGAGAGTGGTGTACCTGGAGGGCTGCGGCCCGCCGCTCCAGCAGTGGCTGCGAGCGAACCTGGCGGCGGCGGGAGGCTACGCCATCGCGGTGGTGCTGCTGCAGGGTGCGGAGCTCCTGCTGGCCGCCCGGCTGCTCAGGGCCCTCGCTGCCCGCAGGGGCGCGGCGTCAGGTCCCGGAGCGCTGGGGGAGGATGGCACTGGCCACCCTGGCCCCGGCCTCCGCGCTGCGCCCGCTGCCAAACCGCCCCGGCTGAGCGCACGCCTGCACAGGGGTCTGGGGCGCCCCCACCCCGCTGAAACGCACTGCACGCACCGCCGCCTGGTTTCGCCTGGGCTTCTGGAGCCTTTGCGGGGGGACCTACCCAGCTTGCCCATGCCTCACGCTCCTTGTCCCTCATGCCAGTCCCCAATGGAGGGCGAAGCCACCGGGCTGGCGGAGGAGCGCACAGGGCGGGAGGAAATCCTGGAGCCGACCCAAGCCCCGGTTCCCACCCCAGCCACACAGCTCCCACCTCCTGATGTTGGACCCGAGCCAGTCAAGGAATACACCACACTCTGAGATTGAATTATGAGTCTTTTATTATGCTGGCAACCGAGAGGTGGCTAATGCCCAAAATTCTCTCGGCCCCTACGAAAAAGTTAGGCGGTCTTTTATACTCTAGTTTTAAAAGGGAGGGGGAACTTAGCTGAAGCCAATTTTTCACAAAAGCAGAGTAAGCAAAAAGTTAGATAAACTAGTACATGAGAAATAAACAGTGCCAGGTGTGAGGGGTGAAGCTGTCATGAAAGACATACAACTTACAGACGACGGGGGCTCTGGGCTCGACGGCACCTGCATGCCCAGGCTGTGCTGGTACCACTTAACTCAGCCTCTTATCAACAAACGCCTTCCTGGGTGCCCAGTGTCAGCCTGCCCCAGCTACATACTACAGTTACATACTTAATGGGGGGAAAACAACTAAATGAAGCTGCTGAGATGGAGTCTGTCCGGCTCAAGAAGCTAACATAAAGCCTGAGCAGCTTTTAGTCTGAGAAACAGAGAGTTCGTTTTAGCTGGCAGGAAGCAGGTTCTCACATTCCCCACCTGTGTTTTTGGAGATTTAAATCATTGACTCCTCAGTTATAGCAAGGGGGTTATATTGGGTTCTAAGATACGTAAGTTTGACAGAAGCTATGTGCCGTTTTACAAAATTAATAAACCAATTTAATAGACAGGGCCCAAAAGTTAACCCCAACAAGAGGAGGAGCAGAGGTCCTGCTAATCCAGTTATTAAGGTCGTTAGCCTTGTTAAGGAGAATTGACTAAAAAAAATAAAATAAAATAAAATAAAGCAGTTAGCCAAGGGTTCCCGTTAAACATGCTCTGGTACCATGGGGTGTTATTTTCTCGTTCCCGTTGGCGTCTGTTTAAATTTTCTCAAACTTTTTGATGAGTGTCCTTAGTGACTCCAGGCTGGTTGGCATGGAAACAACAGCTTTCCCCTCACACTGCACATAAACCCCCTTGGGAGAGAAACACTGGGTCGGGGCCGCACGATTTTCAAGAACAGCTTCAGCTGAGGAGTCTATCTGGGCACGCAGTGCATTTACGGCCGATGGGAGATTTCTTAAATCAGCATCTACCTGTTGGGTTAGGGACCCTAGTCCAGCTTCTCCTCGGACCAGTGCTGCTGTGCCGATTGCTGCCGACCCAGCCACACCGAGGCCAGCCAAAAGGGGTGCTAGGAGTGGAGCACCCAGACGTACTCTGGGGTGCAGTTCAGGAGGGGCGCTGAGAAGCTGTCCCTCTGGTCCGCTGTACACACAAACCTGAGGAAGCACATGAACTAACATGCACAGGAGGGTTCCAGGTTCAGTCCCATTAATGCAGCAGGTGGGGCCTGAGGTGCAAGCCAGCCAGGTGTTATTCGGTGCCTGGTAGGAGACTGAAGTCGTTAGGGAAGAAAGCAGAGACCAATTACAGGTGGCCTGGAAAGGGGAAGCAGATAGGTCATACCCCTGCTGACTAGGCAGGAGGCTTTTCCTGAAACATCCCCTAATGTAAGGGAGTGAGTGTGAGCACTACGGGAAAGAGGGCCAGTGTTTAACTTGACCTCAACTCCCAGTTCAACATATTATGGAGGTTTGGCCTTTCGGCATAACCAACAATTTCGAGCCAGTTTAGGCTGAGTGATATAGTAAGGAAGTGATGGACTCCCCCAAAGATGGACATTAAGCTGGGTTGGAGGTGTTGGGGTTGGCGTTGGGGAGCCTGGACTGGCGACAGGACAGCTGGGCCAATGGGACTGACCTTATCTGTGTGTGGGTGGAACTTAGGGTCTCCTAAATCAGTTAAGGGACCAATGGGTTTGGGGGGGCTCCAGGGGATCAGGATCGTCTTCTGAATGGTAAACGTAGCTCCATAGTACATGGTCTAGGACGAGAGGTTTGGCCTGTGGGAAGGGCTGGGGACCGAGTTGGCCCCTCTGGGTAAGTAGCCAAGGCTACACATGACCGAAAAGGGCAGAAAAACTCGTAACTATCCCGGCAGGCAGCATCAGGGTGGTCTCCAGGACAGAGCTAGAAATCTCTCCATTGGAGTCCCTTTTTTTGCCCCCCCCCGGAGCTGCCACATTCACTTTCACTTTCGGTGTACCGGAACCCTGCAGCAAGGCTAACGAGTCCCACTCCTGCCCACAGGGGCAAACTTCCCTGGTCCTCAAGGGAACAGTTAGGTTTTGGGAACAAAACCAGGTGGTGGTCACAAGCACTCTGCCTACTGCAAAAGAAGTAAGGACAAAAGAGTAGGAGGGGGCAGAGGGCTGAATGCCCAGGAACAGACAAGAAAGTCGACCAAAAGAACTGGTCTGATGACTGCATCCAACTCAGGCGAGGTTTAAGGGCCTGACCCGGGCTTGGGGACCCATGTTTCTTGCTGTGTCCTGTTGGCCTTCTTGATGTGGGAGTGATGAAGTCAGGCAGGAATACTGTCCACCTTTAGGGCCGTGGGTGTAGTAAGGATGTCAGTGTGAGGTCCTTTCCAAGCAGGAACGAGACTTTCCTTCTGGAACTTTTTTTTTTTTTTTTTGAG